AAAACGCAAGCCACTATTTTCGTTAATAACGATTTACTTTGCTCGATTGGGTTTTTAATGCAGTGGAGACCATGGATGATCAACGGCGATCAATAGCCTGTCATCCGACCCAGATGGTTTATTGTCTGGATCCCCTTATCAGAACTGTTGTGACTGGTTTTCAGTTTGTCGAAAGTTACTGAAGGCTCCCATCGCAATGCCAAACAACTCAGGGTGATTGCGGTTGAACTATGCTCGTCCGCCCCTTTGTTTCGTAGTTCGAGAATTCGAATTTCGTCAATTTTGTCCTCATTTCCTATGTTTTTATCCGTCGGCTTTTATTGGGCCGTGGCCGAGATTCTGAGTACTAATCGTAAAATTCGTTTTACACTCAACAAACTGTCACTTAGTCCATATTTTCTCATAAACTAGAACTGAGAAAATTCGAAAACAACTAGAAACATTTGGACCGGAATTGGCTCTTCTTCTTGACTCAAGCACTAAAGTCGCAAATGTGTCCGGTGAGATGTACAAAAAAGCCACCGTGCATTCAGTATTGATGCTTGTGGCCCGTAAGGCCGGATGTTAGTACAATCTATTACCAATTTTGCTGGTCTTACATGCTCTAGTGCTGGTATTGCTGCTGCTACTGTGTATCTATATACTCTGTGTTGATCCTAACTACCAGTAGCGAACTTCATTCATCTTACCTCTCATTCTCATACAGCATATGTTCCATCGGGGTACAAACGAGACAGAGTGGATCTGTTGAGGAACTTCATCTGCCCCGGATATGACCTGTCGAACGGAATGAATGTTTATTAGTCTATAGAAAGAACTGATTGATTTAATGTTGCATCCCTCCACGTCCTATTACGTTTTACTCATGTATTATGTCGATTTACGAAATAAATAATAAATATTTACATGCAACTAAGTTTTCATTGATTTCTTCCGTTTTCCACTATTTGGATAGAAAATCCAGAAAAGCATAGGAATAAATAAAGTGTACCCAAGGAGTCCATAGATTTGAACATAATGGACCCTGTTGATTTAGTTCCATAATGTTTCTTTAGGGAAAGTGTGCACATTATATTCTGATATTCTCGCTTTACTTTGCTCATTCATTCAATAAACTTTCTGCGGCAATCTAACACGATGACATCTGAGGACGGTGTCGATTACTTAACTTCTGTTGTCTAGGAATATGCGACTTGTATCTAGTCCCCGTCGGTTCCTGTTGGATTGTTTTAATCAGTTAGTTGGGCCATCAAAACAGTGACCTAGATGTCCTGAATTCGAATCCCGCACCCGTTTTCCATACTCCCTATTTCGGTATTTCCCTACACGGCCTTTGTCTGGCCGCAGGCCCCTTCCTGAAAGTTGACTGTATATTTGTATACTCAAAAATTAAAAAAAGTAAAATAAAAATTGTGACACTTTACAGAAAACTCCTCAGTGTTGTTTAGTAGAACTTCAGTCATTATCATTTCATCCAAACAACAGGGGATTCAAATAATCATAAAAGTTTTGATAAACGGACATATATGTATATTGTCTAAACATTCCCACACAGCACATTTCAAACAGAACAAGGGGTGGCGAATAAGCTCGTTTTCAGTGGTTTGTAGTCATGCCAAATACATCACAATAAATATTATATATATAAATCGGTATTCAATCATAAAACGCAAACAAATGTTTCGGGAAAGGGAAAATAACCTCAAGGGTTATCCGGGGCTAAGTTCATCTTGGGACCGGATATGGAATTCTCAATGATCGCATAATTGTTAGGTCATCCGATCGTTGGGACCACTCGGAATATGGAGTGTATAGGGGGTGGGTC